CGCACGTATGAAAACCGGTTTCTCTCCGCGCGGCGAGCGCGAGGCTCCAGCGCTGTTCTTGCTTTTGTATATATGTTGTATATACGTTGGGTATGTATTAGTGATTCATTTTTATATAGTATGTATATCAGTATAACGTTTGGCAGTTACTATACACATTTGGAATTTTAAATCCGGAACATAGGATTTTTTACAAATGCTAAGATTCTCTGCGTTGCAATTAACCAGTGTAAATTTCTTTATAACTTCGCGATGTTTTATAACTAACTTATTTGTTCCTCTGGATTACTTCTCCTCAGCGGTTTGTAGTAGCGTATATGGCACGCCGACAGTGTTGCTCCGTCTACCGATTTTTCCTGAAAGTCCGGTTTTGTGCAGATAATAAATAATGTTTTATTGACATCAATTTTGTTTGTGTTCATTAGGTATTATTTGAGTTATAAAATTTATACTTAAATACATTTATTCATCCAAATATTGTTTATAATTTTAAATTAAAAAGAGTGTAATATAATTATTTTATTTTTAAAATTCCTTATTTTTAATTTTAGAAATCAACTTTTTTTTTCAAGCCGTTTTGGCAATATAACATAACCATTTTTTTAGTTATAAAATATTTTGATATCTACATTTATAAATAAGCACGTTTTCGTTGAATTGACATGCGATCTAGGTGTATTCCATTTTTACACTTACACGCTTGGAAGCATCGCGGCGTGAATTAAGAGTGAGACTCCAGTCAAACAAATGAATTAATTATAAAACATCGCGACGTTGTATTGAAATTTACAGCTTTACAAAGCCATTTACAACAACTGTTGGATGAAGACGGTCCTCAATATTCACCAGCAATGGCCGATTAAACGTGAGTATAAAGTTATCAGCCTTTTATTCACGAAAATTATGTAAAAAAAACTTTAAATGCTTTTTTCTCAAAAGTAACATTTTCAAACTGTTCAGACACTTTTCTCCGAACCTTCTTAACCGATTTTAAAAAACCAAAAATTTTTCAAATGTATATACAAAATACTAGATGATAAACCTTTAAAATATTTAAAAACCACCCCCCCTTTTATTATATATGGGTAAATCCACCGAAAAATATAGTGATTTTTCGACTTTTTGGAAAAAATTCGTATAAACTCTTCAAAATAATACAATTTGCATATTATAAAGGTTTATCATCTAGTTTTGAGTCTCACAAATACAACCCATTTTGAATTTTTTGAATATCTGTTATAGGTGACCCACAAAGTGTCTTACCACCAAAAACGCACTTTTTACTACACGCCATCTACAGGACACCAATGAAGTTAAAATCGCTATTAAAAATTTTTATTATGTACTTCAAGACTTACTTAATCATCTCCAAAAGGAATTATGTTAATAGATATTATAGTTTTTTTTTCTGCTTTAATTTTAAAATACGTCTTTTTTTTAATCGCATGAGACTGTCCCCTTAAGTTACTTTCTGTATCTCACTATACTAATCTACCCCGTATCTCACTATAAAATCGATTGTTTTTAACAAAAGCATTATCTAATTATATTATCTAATCATTTGCAGACGCAATCATGCGAACTTATAAAAAAAGGAGCGAGTAAAAACGCCTGCTGACCGAACGGGGTACCCCGATGACACTGGCCATTGCTGTTTCAGCGTCAGGCAATTCAATTACTCCGTATTTCATATTTCCTAAGAAAAACTATCGAGCGCACTTTGTTCGAAGTGGCAGTATAGGTGACCTGGCAGTATAGGTGATGCGAATCCCTCGGGATGGATGACCGAGACACATTTTATAAAATTTGCAGAGCATTTTATACACAACGTAAGATGTTCAAAAGAAAAACCAGTGTTATGGTTGCTCGATGATCATGATTCTCATTTGTCAATAATTTCAAACAAAACGGAGTTACTGTTTTATCGTTTCCACCTCATTGCAACGATAAATGTCAGCCTTTAAACTGAAGTATTTATAGTCCTCTAAAAAAATAAATCAACACCGCTTGCGATTTATAGATAACGAATAATCTAAGCCAAACAATGACCATATATGATATTCCAGCGGTGGTGAAGTCAGCTCTACCCAATGCAACTACTCCAAAGAATATTATGGCTGGCTTTCAAGTATCTGATATAATTCGGATATATTCCTTCCTGAGGAGTTTATGGCTGCTTTTTGCACTCACTGATCAATCTCGACCGGAACCAAATGAAGTTACTGCGCCAATTAACCATCCTCTTCCTGATCTAAATCTGTCTTTGGAGCAGTGTGATCCGTCTCCACTCGTGCCGACTCAAGTTACTTCGCTCATTCAGGTTAATTCACATTATATTCCTTCCACAATATCAACTACCAAATTCTATCGTGCAGTATCAGCAACTACGCCTATATTACATGTTAACGATATATCGGCTAAATCATTTTTTGATGGTGCCTCTGCCCTTCCTGCAACAATTTATTGACTAACTTAAGACCATTTTCTAAAGCCGGCGACAGAAAAACAAATACCAAACGAGGAAGAAAAAGACGTTCTACTGAAAATAAAGAAGAAGCGTCTATTAACAATATATTCAGATGAAGACTTAGACCAGGATAATGCTTCCGTCTAGTTTGCATGGAGCCACATTCCAATAGTCGTCCTGGAGAACAGTGAATCAAATGCATTGAATGCAACTTTTCAGCACACTTCAAATGCACTGAAGGCAATATTTTGCCATATATATGTCAAAACTGCGATTGCGATGAATACTAACAGTATTTCTAAATACAGATTTCTAATTATTTTATTAATTAAAACAAAATTAAAGTTGTTTGAATTCATAACTTCTTATTAAATACATTTCATCATCACCATCAGTGGTGCTACAGCTCTAGTTGAGCCTTGACCTTCCCCAGTCTATTTCGCCAGTCGTTTCTGTTCATCGCCAACCGTTGCCAATTTGCCGCGCCGATCTTCCTTGCGTCCTCGTCCACACCGTCCCTCCATCTCAGTCGTGGTCTGCCTCTACTCCTATTTCCCACTGGGACCGATAATAGAGTTCGTCTGGGTGGGTAATTTTCATTTGCTCTTGACACATGTCCAGCCCATCTAAGCCTACCTATTTTTATGAAGGATATTACATCTCTACCATTTACTATTTTTTTATACTTCTCGTACAATTCGAAATTATATCGCCTTCTCCAAATGCCATTCTCACAGAATGCGCCCATTATTCTTCTTAGTATCTTCCTTTCGAAGACGAGCAGAAGATTTGCGTCTGTTTTGGAGATGGTCCATGTTTCTGACCCATATGTCAGCACTGGTAGGATGAGTGTTCGATATATTATTAGTTTGGTTTTCTGGCTTAAATTTCTGTTTTTTAGCTGCTTGCTTAGTCCAAAATAACATTTGTTTGCTAGCAGTACCCTCCGTTTAACTTCTTCAGATGTGTCATTATCGTTTGTTATGAGAGAACCCAAATATGTAAACTTATTTACTACCTCAAAATTATATTGGTCTATACTGAAGTTTTGTTCAGCGTTTCTAGCTCTATCTCTGTTATTTGGAATAGATGCTAACATTTTGGTTTTATTCCTCGTTTATTTTAAGGCCCATATTTTGTGCGGCTGTCAAGAAGGCGGAAGTCATCTCTTTAAGTCCTCGTGTAGTACGTGCAATCAAATCCAGATCGTCAGCGTAAGCCATAATCTGCGTTGATTTATTAAAGATTGTTCCCCTATTGTGTAACTCGGCATCTCTTATAGTCTTTTTTAACGCTATATTAAAGAGAAGGCACGCCAGCGCGTCTCCCTGCCGTAACCCTGCATATGTTTCAAACGCTTGTGACATATCGCCTTGTATTTGCACTCTGCAGATCACTTTACTCATAGTTGTTTTTACGAGCCTTATTAATTTATGGGGAATGTTAAGTTCATTCATGGCTTCGTATAATTTACCTCTTAGGACGCTATCATACGCTGACTTAAAGTCCACAAAGAGATGGAACGTGTCAATATTAAATTCATTGGTTTTTTCTAAGATTTGACGTAGCACAAAAATCTGGTCGATTGTTGACCTACCTGGCCTAAAACCGCTTTGATACTCACCAAGGATTTCTTCCACGTACGTACTTAAACGGCTGTACAGGGTATTGGAGAATATTTTGTACATTGTATTCAGAAGAGTTATACCCCTATAATTTTTACATTCCAACAAATCTCCCTTTTTGTGTAGTGGACATATGATTCCAGTGCACCATTCCTCTGGCATTTGTTCTTCTTCCCAGACTTTGACTATTATGTTGTGAATTTGGTGCATAATGCTGTTACCTCCATGTTTGATGAGCTCTGCGGGGATACAATCCACTCCTGGGGACTTGCTATATTAAATATTATTATGGATTACTGCTCCTTTGCATATGTTTTAAGTGTAGTTATGTTTTATACCTATATGCCAACCTACCCCAAGGGCCATGACAATTTGCGCCAATCAGGGAGTAAATTGACATAGATTGTAGAGCTACTATTATTTTATACAAGCATGTTGAAATACATTTAGAGATCTTGAAAAAAGGGAATATTAAAGTAATGTTTACTTTATCTTACGGTAATGCGCAATTTTTAAAGCAAGTAATACTAATCTTAAAAAAATGTAATAGGCGAATCTATGACAACCTACCCCGGTCTCCCCTATAGTTTAATAATGAAAATATTCTCCTTTTAAAAAAGTAAAAAAGAATTTTAAAAATTTTGAACTTTATACTTACGTTAATTTTAGATTTAACTCTGTGTTTATAAAGTTCTTTTAGTATAAATATCAACAAAATTATTCTACATCGGTTATCAATGCAAGCATGCGGTAAGAGGGAGGGTCCAAGCTGTAAGGTGCCAGCAGTCGCACAATATCTTAAAGCAGAACTATCAAAAAACCTACGAATGTGAGCGTTCTACTATATTTATTACTCTAACTATACTTCTGTTTAAATAAAATATTATATTTACACATATTTAATTTACCTGTGCCAAGTGCTTTTCTGCTTCCTTCATCGGTCGTACTAGGGATCCCGGTACTTTTGGAGTTATAATTAATATGGGAATCTATAAAACAATTTTTTTATTGTCATTTAATGTTATTATGGAATATAAAAAACAGAAACGTAATACGATTACACATGAAAAATTCATTGAATTAAAATTTGAGATAAATATTTATATATTGAAGGAACCTCAAATTGAAGGAAAATTTAACTTGTTCATGCGGCGGTGAGAAGAGTATTCTGACGGACATGCAAAAGGTCAGCGAATGAACCTGGATGATACATTTACACACGATGCAAGGCCAGACGTCCGTTGACATTTGACATGAACGTGTATAGGCATCCTTTGATGATTGCCGCCAGGTGTCGTACGTGTGCAAGTAAGTTGTAAGTACACCTCTCCCAAGATGGCCACTAATCATAGAAAATACAAAATTTAAAAAATAAAAAATGTAGAGACATGTCTTTGGAGATCATGAATGAACCATTTATGCGGCAAGTCATAAAGTTTAATAACGCCAAACAGACATTTTACAGTCGTAGAAATAGTTTCAATATAAGATGTCAAGCTGCTGGTTTGGCGTTATAAAATGGTCGATACGAAAACTAAAGAACTGAGTAGGCCAAATAGAACCATGCTAACTAAATACCGCATGAAACACCCCATTTGATACATCCAACGTATTACACTACCACACATAAAAGGAGGGAGATGAACGGGGTGTTTGGAAAATATCACCCACTAAGACAAAAAAAAAAACAGCAAAAAAACAAAGACAAAAATATATAGAGCAGCAATTAGACCGGTGATATCATATGGGGCGGAAGTAATGTGTCTTACGAAAAAAGATGAAGAAAACTAGGAATTATTGAAAAAAAAAAAAAAATTATAAGAAAACACGACCCAACAAAGACAGAACAAGGATAATATAGAAGACTAATGCCGCATGAAATAAGAAATAGGAATATAACCGAAGGGTAAGACATAGTAAAATTTATTAATGCTCAAAGACTGAGATGGTTTGGACATATATAAAGAAGAGAAGAATACGCACTAATTAGGAAGATAACTAACCTGAAACTAGTAATAAACAGAACAAAAGGAAGACATTTTAGCATGTTTTGACGATTGACCATGTACCTAAATGGAATTCCGACTAAGATAATAAATAATACCAGATCATTGAATTTTCAACTATCAACAAAAATGTAATATATGATGACAAGTATGAATTTGATGGTAATACGATATTCACAGATATCGCCACCTAAGTATCTACATAATTTCTTTGTCCATGACAGTGTTTAGATAACACGAATCATTTTTCAATGATATGTGTGTATGGAACCTTATTTTTCTCATAACAATATGTTCCTGCAAAGGCGTAACTTTGATTATTTGGCAAACCTACCTTATACGTCACAAAAAATTAAAAAATTCTGCTCGATTACATATACAGGTCAGATATCAACAAAAATAGCCAAACACATAAAGAATAAAGGAATAACACAGGCTTTTAGAACAAACAACAACTTAGGCAAATATGTTAAAAACAAGAGCCAAAATAAAAAGCACTTACACAATGGTGTATAGAAACTTAAATGTGGCGACTGCCCCAAAACTTACATCGGTCAAACTGGTAAAACTTTTAACAAATATATAGCAGAACATAAAAGCGCTTTCAATAATAGAAAAACAGATTCTACATACGCACTTCTCCTTCGAGATCGTAATCATTCTTTTAATGACGAATTTTAAATTCTTCACATCAAAAATAAAGGCCTTAAGCTATCTTTATTAGAATCTATGGAAATTAATAAATTAAAAAATACAGACATAATGCTGAATAACCAACTTGAGACAAACACCCTCTCCCCTCCTCCATCTGTTCAGTTAAAGACTATAAAGTGTAAACACAAACCAAAAATAAATCACTTATGAAAGGCACTCTGCCAAAACAGGTGTAGTGATAAGATATTATAATAAATTTCGTGATTTGAAAACAAAGTTTTCAGTGTTACACTGTTTGCTCAGGCTGTTAGGCCGTTTTCTTCTGAGATTAGTTCTCGACGTTTCGCCAACAGTAGGGGCTGACATCTTTTGGAGATGTTACTGCCTCGCTTGTAACTTTGTTTCTTCTTTGAGTAGATATGAATTAAAAACTGAAAACACGATTTTTTGGACATATCAACTAAGAATGATTATGCAGCTGATTTGTTAAATGCGATTATCTCGTAACGTGTTAAGTTTTGAAGTTACTAACAAGTATATCATTTTTGTTGTTAAATAATGAATCTTTAATATTTTTTGACACAAATAGCGTTAACCAGAACAGCAAAAAATTTAAGCGTAAATTTATGCCACATTTGTGGAGTCCTCTATCAGCTACATCAAATTATAATCACTCATACTCAAATGTACCATTGAATTAAAATGATTATAATTAGGAGCACATAATTTACCTGTTTTACGTGGTCTTCCTCGTGATCTTTTGCCTTTTAAATCCGTTTTAGAACTTTCAACCATTTTCACGCAATCAGGAGGTTTAAACATCATTTCGTCTTTACTTTGACGTTCCGTATAAATAGAAAATTCTGAAAGTAAGATAAATGTACTTGAAATTTTTCTAAAATTTAACTTCGTAACAAGAGTATAAAACTACACAACTAGTGAAACTAATATGACCAAAATCATCGCAGTTAAATTATACACAAAAATATCATTAACCCGCAACCGGCGTCGAAGTTTATTTTGCCGTTAACTGCATCCTGGGGTCAACTGGGCCCAATTTTTTTGAGTTTTTTGTGAAATTAATAAAGATATAATTCATTATTTCGTTATAATTTGTAATAATTTAAGCTGGAATAAAACCATGTAAGACCATTTTCTGAAATCGTAGGCTTCCACGGCCAGAGTCAGAATTATAGTTTATTCGTCTTCCGGGTTTGGACCGTGTCATTTGTGAGTGACCCAAAAGTGGGTTCATCTCGACGTTTCGCTACAATTATATGTAGCTTCTTCAGGAGAAACAAAGAAAAAGAAAAAAGAAAACAAAAGAACAGGAAGATGGGTAGTTAGCAACGGTAACTCAGTTACTCAACGCAACCAGAGGCGAATACTAACTACCAAGATGGGCATTTGGTCACAGTAACTCAACTACTCAACGCAGCCAGAGGTGAAAACCAAATGCCAGGACAGGGATTCACGTCCAACAGCTCAGAACACTAACGCGTCGAGAGGCGGGGAGTGAATCCGACTCCCCGCCTCTCGAGGATTCACTCCCCGCCTCTCGACGCGTTAGTGTTCTGAGCTGTTGGACGTGAATCCCTGTCCTGGCATTTGGTTTTCACCTCTGGCTGCGTTGAGTAGTTGAGTTACTGTGACCAAATGCCCATCTTGGTAGTTAGTATTCGCCTCTGGTTGCGTTGAGTAACTGAGTTACCGTTGCTAACTACCCATCTTCCTGTTCTTTTGTTTTCTTTTTTCTTTTTCTTTGTTTCTCCTGAAGAAGCTACATATAATTGTAGCGAAACGTCGAGATGAACCCACTTTTGGGTCACTCACAAATGACACGGTCCAAACCCGGAAGACGAATAAACTATAAGACCATTTTCTATTTATTTTTCATTAATAATGATAAATGCGAGCAACAAATATACTCTTTTCAAAGAAATAATGGATCTGAATATGGCTCGTCCCGTTCCATTTGTTGCAAAAATTTCTTACAAGTCTTTATATATATATATATATATATATATATATATATATATATATATATATATATATATATATATACATTCGGTTTTATAACGTCTTACGACGTTGTCCGACTCCCAACCGCCACTGTATTCGGTCTTGAGTTAGGTCTTCGTCCAGATTTCGAGCGCTAATCGCTTTCCTAACTCCCAGGTTCCAGCTCTGTGGTGGTCTTCCTCGTTTCCTCTTCTCTGGGGGTTGCCACATCATCGTTTTTTTAGGCAATCTTTCGTCCCCCATTCGGCTCACATGTCCATACCATATGAGCTGTTTTCTCTCAATATCCTCAACTATAGTGCCCTCTATACCCATTTGTTGTTTTATCACTTCATTCCGTATTCTGTCGGCTCTTGATATTCTCATCGATCTTCTGATGGCATCCATTTCCGTGGCTTCGACCTTTTTCTTATATTTCTCGGTTATTCTCCATGTCTCAGCTCCATAAAGTAGGCTAGTTTTAACCATTGTCTCATAGATGTTCCATTTTCTTTTCTTTGGTATTTCTTTACTCAATTAAAGTTTTATTTAAAGTTTTTTTATTTTAACAAGTCTTTATTATTTGACTTAAAAACTGCAAAGTAATACAAGATAGCAAGAAACGCTCTAAATTATTCCTTGACAGTTCTCTCAGTTCTGTTCTATCAGAATTGCCAAATTTATTTTGAAATAACAATATATTTTCATTTGTCCGAAGAATTATTTCGTTTTCCATATTATCTGTGAAAATAATTCTCCATATTTTTAAGAGATCAGAGACATCAACACATTTTGCAAGTCCTTTTAACCCCGGAAGAACTTTTACTAGATTATGTTTTTAATTACTATTAAACTGGGAATAAGCCACAATTAAAGATAAAAATACGTTTATTGACGTTTCACTTTCCACTTCGGAAATCGTTCTCAAAATACAAACAGTAAATTAAACAAATTTTGTTTTTTGTTACATAGTGAAAAATTCTTCTAATAATTTAATTTTATCTGACTCATTTATATTGACAATTCAGACATACATTATGCATTTTAAAGTAGACGACTTTAAAATGATATTGCCAATATTGTTGAGTTGCGCTCCTGGGACGACTTTACTTATAAGATAGTTCATTCGATTATATGAAATCAACTTTAACTTGAGAATATCCGTCAGAAAAAATCATAGCATGTAATTCGTCTTTAAAAAGACAAACACATGACATGATGACAGTAAAATTCTCCTGTTAGTGATTCCATAGTAAATTATGAAGGAAAAACCAGGAATGTCTCTTCTTTATCGTTTATATCATTTAATGACATTAACATTTACCATGGAAAAGGAATATAATAACACGCTACCTTTCCTGGATGTTTTAATCTCTAAAAACGATACTGGATATGAGACTCAGGTGTATAGAAAACCAACACACACCAATAGATATTTAAATTTCAAATCGAATCACAATATTAATGTAAAAAAGGGAATAATTAAATCCTTATACGATAGAGCCAAAATTACTTGTTCTAACGAAAATTCGTTCTTGGAGGAAAAACATTTATTAACATCTGTTTGATACAGTAGAGCGTTTGAAGTAATAAATAATCTAAGATATGCAGACGACACTGTCCTTGTGGCGGATAATGCTGAAGGATTACAAAGACTGATATATCAAATAGTTAACATCGGTAGAAAATATAGAATGAAACTTAATAAGAAGACGAAAATTATGATCATAAGCAAAAACCAAGATACAGATGCAAAGTTTATGGCAGACAATGAGGTATTGGATAGAACAGAAAAAATACTATACCTAGGATGCAACATCACAGACAGCTGGGATCAATCATACGAGATTAAATGTAGGATCGAAACAGCAAGGAGTGTCTTCTAACAGATGAAGAAAGTTCTCTGCAATTTAACCTTGAACTTACATCTCCGACTCAAAATCCTTAATTTTTATGTGTTTTCTGTTCTTATGTATGGAGCAGAGGCATTGACACTCACTGATGCGTAAACAAATATTTTATTTGTCGTCTACAATAATCTCAATTTCTGAGAGTTGTAACGGGCAATAAATTATTGAAAATATCTAGTGAATAATATAAGACATTTAGTGAATAATATAAGACATTAAGTGAAGGAAAGTGCTAAGGAAAAACTTTAAAATCGGTGAAATAACATCCGAAAACACCAAGGTCTTATAAAAAGTAAGATTGCTGTAATTGATAAGCCTAATTAACATCAAGGCATAGAAACGAAACTCTGACCTTTGAAATTGCGACGTTGCCGTTGTGAGTAGACTTTCGGGGTAGACACAGAAAAATAACAACGGTTAATAAACATAAAATAAATACGGTAAACGGTGTCTTCTCTGAACTGTTGAGGTGGAAGACAGTGTTTGGCGCCGGAAAATGGAAAAATATATAAAAAATTTAGACAGTGATGATACACTTTCAGAAGGAGGGGCAAAAAGGAAGGACAGATATAAAGACAGCGAGGAAGAAGATAACATTTTCAGAAAGAGCAAGAAGTTCTCGAGAACGCCAACAAAAACTCCAGAGAAAAAAAATGAGGCAACAAAAATTGATCAATTACTAATAATGATGAGCCACCTTACCGATGATATTAAGGAAATAAAAAGAAATCAAAAAGAATGCAAGGAAACGATAGAAAAGCTCATAATGGAAAACAGAGAGCTGAGAAAAGAAAATTTGGAACTAAAACAAGAAAATATAGAGATCAAGGAGGAACTCAGAGAAATAACAAAAAACATAGAAGTTATGGAAAAACACCGACGAATAAATAACATAGTTATGAACGGTCTAAGGATAGACACATATGAGCAAGCAGAGTTAAAAGGAACAATCAATAATTTCATCAAACAACATACAGGGGTAGAGGTTAAAATAAGGAATGCTCACAAGTTAGGCGAAAAAACATGCCTAATCGAATTAGAAAACCAAGAAGAAAAAAGAAAAATAATGGAAAAAAAGCACAAGTTAAAAGAATTTAAAGAGTACAAAATATATATCAACGAAGATGCAACCATAAAAGAACGAGAAATACAGAAAACAATCAGAAACATTGCTCAAGAAGAAAGAAATAAAGGAAATGAAGTAAAAATTGGAGTAAAAAAAATATGGGTGAATAACAACGAATGGAGGTGGAATGACAAAGAAGGCGCAATGTGTAAAAAAAACATCAAAAAACTAGCAACTAAATGTACTACTGGAATAACGTTGACGAAACAAGCACAGAACAAGGTTAAGGAAAATACTAAAAAAGGAAAAAAGAGTACAGAAATGAAAACTGAACCAAAACACAAGAAAACATTGCGAAAAGAGCACCTACTTTTAGGAACATGGAATGTAAGAGGCACATATGGAGAAGGCAAACTTAAACATTTAGCGAGAGAAATCGAAAAGTTCCATTTTGACATAGTAGCTTTACAGGAGACGAAACAGCTGGGAAATGATATATTCGAAATAGAGGATACAATGTTTTTCAACAGCGTTGGAAAGAATCGAACATTAGGCACAGGTTTTATGATAAGAAAAGATCTAAAAGAAGCAATAGTAGAGTTTAAACCAGTATCAGACCGCATATGTAGTATCAGGTTCAAGGGAAAATACCAAAAAATCACCCTCATACATATTCACGCACCTTCAGAAGAAAAAGATAATGATGTTAAAGAATGTTTCTACAATGAATTAAACAGAACAATCGAAAATATACCCAGATATGATATAAAAATTATTCTAGGCGACGCAAATGCCAAAATAGGGAAGGAAGAAGTATTTAGACCGACAATAGGAAAATATAGTAAACACAATGAAACTAATGAGAACGGACAATTCCTGATAGATTTCGCAAGAGAAAAAAATATGATCATAATGAGCACATATTTCGAAAGAAAAGAAATACACAAGGAAACATGGATATCGCCAGATAGAAAGACTAAAAACCAAATAGACCACGTGCTCATCGAAAAAGAGGAACAGCAATGTATAAAGAAGATAAGAACATACAGAGGACCAGACGCTGACTCAGATCACTACATGGTGGGTATCAAAATTAAGCAACTGATACCAGAAATCAAAAACACAATAAGTAAAAAGAAATGTATACATAACCCAATTCGATTAGCAACAAAAAAAGAGCAAGAAATATACGAGGAAACAATGGAAAGGGAACTAAAAAAGATACAAATAGAAGAGCAAACTGAGAACAAATGGGAAAACATAAAGCAAATAATGAACAAAGCAGCAAAAGAATGTGATAAACAAGAGAATAAAAAGAACCAGAAAGACTGGTTCGACATAGAGTGCCAAAAAGAAATAGAACTAAGAAAATCATTAAGGATGGAAATGATCACGAAAGAAACAATAGAGACAAAGAATAGATATAGGGAGCAAAGACAAAAAGTAAAGAGGGTGTTGAGAGAAAAGAAGAGAACACACATAGAGAATAAGCTAAAAGAAATAGAAGAGAATTACAGAAATAAAAAAAATAAAAAAACCTGTATCAAGGTGCTAGAAATGAAAAAAAAGGTTTCCAACAAAAACCCATATTCGTTAAAAACAAAGCAGGAAATAATATAAGCGGGGAAGCAGAAATAGTCGAAAGATGGAAAGAGTATTTTGATGAATTACTAAATGGTAATAATAAGTCAAACCAAAGAGAATATATGGAAGCAGAAGCAAGAATTGAACACATAGACGACATAGAAGATAATTCACCCAGCAAAAAACAAATCGAGGAAATCATAAAAAATCTGAAAAACAACAAATCCCCTGGAAGTGATAACATAACAGCAGAGATGATGAAATATGGTGGAAAACTGCTAAATAATTGGATATGCAAGATCATAAAAGAGATATGGATAAAAGAACGAATACCAGAAGATTGGAAGGAAGCCATTATTTGTCCATTACACAAAAAAGGAGACAAAACAGAATGCAGTAATTACAGAGGAGTAGCGTTACTAAATACCATATATAAAATCCTATCAAAATCGATAAAAGATAAGCTGGAAAAAGAAGCTGAAAATATAATAGGCGAATACCAGTGTGGATTCAGACGAGGGAGAAGCACAACGGACCAAGTATTCATAATAAGAGAGTTACAAGCAGAAAGCTATGAACACAACTTACCAACGATAGCGCTATTCATCGACTTCCAGCAAGCATACGACAGAATAAAAAGGAAGAAATTAAAAGAGACCCTTGAGGAACTGGGAGTTAGCAGAAAGTTGCGTAACATGATACATCTTACTTTAGAGAATACAGAAAACAGAGTCAAAGTCAACAATCATGCATCGGACAAATTTATAGTAAACGAAGGATTAAGGCAGGACGATCCTTTGTCATCATTACTCTTCAATTTATGCCTAGAAAAAATAATGCGAGAAGCGAGAATTAATAGAGAAGGACTCCTATGTCATAAAAGACACCAAGTTTTGGCATTTGCGGATGATATAGTGTTGCTGGCAAGAGGAAAAAAAGAGCTACAGGAGATAGTACAGAGAATAGTAAAAGCAGCAAAGAAAATGGGACTTTACATAAATGAAACTAAAACAAAATGTATGCAGTGGACAGATGATCAGTTTAGGGATGGACAAAAGTTTAAAGTAGAAGTGGAAGAAAGATTATCATACGAATTCGAAATGGTGGAAAGATTTACATACCTAGGTACAATAATATCACGTAAACCTAACATTAAAGAAGAAACACAAGCTAGAACAATGGCAGGCAATAGAAGTGTACATGCTCTTAGTGGAATGTTGAAAAGCAAGTTTTTATCAAGAAAGACAAAAATACAGTTATACAAAACAACTATACAACCAATAGCAACATACTGCAGTGAGACGTGGACAATGACAAAAAATGAACAAAATCTACTGGAGATATGGGAAAGGAAAATCTTGAGGAAGATATATGGAGGAATAATAAGGGACGGTTTATGGATAAGAAGATCAAATGATGAGTTAAAGAAATTATATAATCAACCTAACATAATAGGAGTCATAAAGGCACAGAGACTAAGATGGCGAGGTCACCTAGAAAGGATGCCAAACACGAGGACTCCAAAAAGGGTACTAAACTACAATATAATTCAAAAAAGAGAAAAGGAAGGCCAAAAAATAGATGGAATCAGGGGGTAGAAAAAGATATGGAAGAAATTGGACTAGACGACCAGAAGAGAAAAATGAATAACAAGAAGGAATGGAGAAAAGTCACATATCGAGCCAGAGAAGATCTCAGTACATAAAGGAAAGCGAAAATGAAGAAAGAACATTTTTTAAGCCATGGGCCTCTAAAGCCTTTAGTGCTATTGTATATATATAGCAGAACATAAAAGCGCTTTCAATAATAGAAAAACAGATTCTACATACGCACTTCTCCTTCGAGATCGTAATCATTCTTTTAATGACGAATTTTAAATTCTTCACATCAAAAATAAAGGCCTTAAGCTATCTTTATTAGAATCTATGGAAATTAATAAATTAAAAAATACAGACGTAATGCTGAATAACCAACTTGAGACAAACAGTTCTCCCCTCCTCCACCTGTTCAGTTAAAGACTATAAAGTGTAAACACAAACCAAAAATAAATCACTTATGAAAGGCACTCTGCCAAAACAGGTGTAGTGATAAGATATTATAATAAATTTCGTGATTTGAAAACAAAGTTTTCAGTGTTACACTGTTTGCTCGGGCTGTTAGGCCGTTTTCTTCTGAGATTAGTTCTCGACGTTTCGCCAACAGTAGGGGCTGACATCTTTTGGAAATGTTACTGCCTCGCTTGTAACTTTGTTTCTTCTTTGAGTAGGTGTGAATTAAAAACTGAAAACACGATTTTTTGGACATATCAACTAAGAATGATTATGCAGCTGATTTGTTAAATGCGATTATCTCGTAACGTGTTAAGTTTTGAAGTTACTAACAAGTATATCATTTTTGTTGTTAAATAATGAATCTTTAATATTTTTTGACACAAATAGCGCTAAACCAGAACAGCAAAAAATTTAAGCGTAAATTTATGCCACATTTGTGGAGTCCTCTATCAGCTACATCAAATTATAATCACTCATACTCAAATGTATCATTGAATTAAAATGATTATAATTAGGAGCACATAATTTACCTGTTTTACGTGGTCTTCCTCGTGATCTTTTGCCTTTTAAATCCGTTTTAGAACTTTCAACCATTTTCACGCAATCAGGAGGTTTAAACATCATTTCGTCTTTACTTTGACGTTCCGTATAAATAGAAAATTCTGAAAGTAAGATAAATGTACTTGAAATTTTTCTAAAATTTAACTTCGTAACAAGAGTATAAAACTACACAACTAGTGAAACTAATATGACCAAAATCATCGCAGTTAAATTATACACAAAAATATCATTGACCCTCAACCGGCGTCAAAGTTTATTTTGCCGTTAACTACATCCTGGGGTCTACTGGACCCCATTTTTTTTGAGTTTTTTGTGAAATTAATAAAGACATAATTCATTATTTCGTTATAATTTGTAATAATTTAAGCTGGAATAAAACCATGTAAGCCCATTTTCTATTTATTTTTCATTAATAATGATAAATGCGAGAAACAAATATACTCTTTTCAAAGAAATAATGGATCTGAATATGGCTCGTCCCGTTCCATTTGTTGCAAAAATATCTTACAAGTCTTTATTATTTGACTTAAAAACTGCAAAGTAATACAAGATAGCAAGAAACGCTCTAAATTCTTCCTCGATAGTTCTCTCAGTTCTGTTCTCAGAATTGCCAAATTTATCTTGTGAAATAACAATATATTTTCATTGTAATATTTTCATTGAAAAAACATGATATATTCAATATGCACAGGAAGATCAAAGAAATGGCAGGAATATATAACAAAATAAAAAGTTTGATAAAAATGAAAACATACTATTCAATACACAAGAAAAACTGGACATGTGGCAGGAATATATAGCAGAACTGTTCAGTGACAACCAACACATTACAGTATATGACAACGTCGAGAATGGACCAACAATAACAAAATCAGAAGTAAGATCTGCTTTAAGTTGTCTAAAAAACAATAAAGCGCCAGGAACTGATGAAAGATATGCTGAGGTATTGAAATTGATAGAAGACAATCAACATCTTGCAGAAGACATCTGCAATTTAACCTTGAACTTACATCTCCGACTCAAAATCCTTAATTGTTATGTGTTTTCTGTTCTTATGTATGGAGCAGAGGCAGAAAAACTCACTGATGCGTCTTGCAGACGGTTGCAGTCTTTCGAGATGTGGTGCTATCGCCGCATGTTCAGAATATCATATATACATCATATAACTAACGACGCAGTAATGCAATACTTCGGATATATAGTGAGAAATGAAAATAAATACAGAATCCTTCTATTAATATTAGAAGGGAAAATAGAAGGAACTGAGGACCAGGACGCCGCCGAATATCCCGGCTTAAGAATTTGAGACAGTGGACAGGTATGACCCATTTCGAACAGCTGCTAATAAAATAAGATGGGCCATTGTGGTAGCCAACATCCATAGAGAATAGGCACTAGCAGAAGAAGAAGTATTTTATCCGTCGTCTATTTATATTCCTTTGAACTAAAAATTTATGTTCAGTAATAAAGCAAATAATAAAGACAAAACACTGTTTTTTAATTCATATTCATGATTAAAATGTAGAAACTTACGTGTATTCGGTTTAATCTTTTTCGGTGATACCGATATTCGATCACACTCAATCTCATTTAGATTTCCGCTATGTAACCTAAAAAAGATAATGGATCAGCATGGCTACAAGGAAATGTACCATCTACCAACATAATAGCAATATGGTTAAGAGGTTAAATATTTCGTAAAATTTTGTCAAAAAAAAATGTGAGGCGCACGCCTTGTGGCTTATTTCTAATTTATACTCATTTATACTCTTACGAGGAAAACGAAAATTATGTTTCTAAAGGTAATGGATTCTGACAAGAGCTATGAGTCATGCCGATGCAGTACACAAGTTTACCTGTTATTTACAAGGTCATAGCTCATGTCAAAATCCATTACCTATACCATTTATTATTATTTATTGAATAAGATACCGCGTTTTATTTGCGCGTTCTTTAATTTTGCCATACAACAATCAATCATCAATCAATCAATCATTAGAAAGATTGCATTCATTTATTGTTTGACAGTTATCTTATTGTCATAACGTCAGTTTCAGAGAATTTTTATTCAATCTCAACAGGGTTTTGAATAATGAAAATGAAATTATCAATATATCAGGAGAAGATTAAATATCAGTAGTTTTACTATTAGTACAAGATACCACTGCAGAATCACTACGTTTATAACGTAGTTCATCAAACTCACATTTTTACATATATTTTAAATTAGGAGAATACATTAATTGCCATTTTAGTTGTCAGTCAAAAAGTCACCGAAATATTTTTAATTCAACTAACAGTAATTATTTTTGACAAATGTTTTATTTCGTTCATTTACTTTTTACATAAAATACCCTGCTCATGACGTATATGCATGTTTTTTATATCAAATTAAAGCTAATTTTTTCTTAATATGATGATACAAGGTTGCCTGAGAAAAAAATGTCTAAAATTAAATTTGCCAGCTGTTAAAAACGCAAGGTATCAAAGATAAAGTAAAATAGAGATAAGCCGCAACGACACTGGTTTGACCAGTGATAATATGTATATTATTATATAGATATGAACGCATGCTTTAAAACTCACACAATTAACACTTAAAACAGCAACGTTACATGCAAGCTGTCTTTTATTTTATCTTTGATACCTCGCGTTTTTAACAGCTAGAAACCCTAAATTACGACCATTTTTACGACTCAGGCAAACTGATACCATCATTTTAGGAAAAAAAAATTAGTTTTAATTTAATATTAAAAAATAGCGTATTTTATTTATCCTACAGTGGCATCTTAGGCTATATGATCTAAAGAAACTGATAGCAATTAAAGAACTGCCTGGAAGGGATCGAAAATATAGACTTCAGATACTGGTAACAGTTTTCTTATTTTAAATGCATTAAGTAGTTGAACACTTAACATTAATACAGACCACATATAAACTTAAGCAAGTTTATGTCGCCGGTTAAGTGAAGCTGGGTTAAGAAAGTTACTTGCAGACTAGCAAGTAGACCAAAGTTCTTAAGACGTCACTGGGTAGCAAGATTGGCATTTGTGCGTCTAAATTTTATACATTATCAACCACTCAACCACAACAAAAACTCTGGGAAGCTCTCCAGAAAACAAATATTAGTGTAGCTTTCATCAAGTCTGTTCAAGACCTCTACAGTAACAATACAAGTAAAATAAAGAAAGGTCAGGAGGTATCAAGGGTTTCACTATCAGCAAAGGACTCAAGCAAGCATACTGCGTGTCTCCTACTGTGTTTAAGATCTACTCGGAGCAAGCGATGAAGACGTGGAAAAGAAAATGCAGAAACATGGGATTTCCTCTAAACGACGCAATATTGTACACATTGAGTTTTGCGGACGACCAGATAGTGATGGTCCAAGACTATGAAGACCTCGAATATATGACCAGTAAACTTATCGAAGAATACGAACTATGGGGGCTATAAGTAAATACAGTGCAGTCTCGATATAACGAACCCCGATATAACAATTTTTTTAAATCCCGTTCAAACGTCCATAACATTAAATGTAAAAAATACCCCTATATAACGAACTATTTCTGTTTCAATCCTCGATATAACGAATTTTTACGATTTGGTGAAATAAATTAAAACCCCAGTATAATGAATATTGAGTGTAGCAAACCCCTACATAACGCACGAAACCCCTTTGTTACGCATTTCTGCATTCCAAACCTCGGTTTAGCGTAGTTTAGTATAGATTGTTGTGACTCACGGACATGCCCAGACATGAAAACAATGTGACCTGCTTCCCATCCCTTACCCCTAGAACTATCAGTCAGTCAGTGCAGTGTTGATTTTGACACTGTGATCAGTACCTAAAGTACCTAAAGATTTGAGTGTTATTATCGAACAGTACATCCAAGTGTAAAGTTTTTTTTTATTTTGTGGTCGTATTTGCTATGTCGCAAAAACACAGTAGAATTTAAACGAAACTGATACAATTTAAAGGAAATCCCAAAAGGAATAAATTGGAGATTGCCAAGAACTTTGACATCACTCCCTTCACATTATCCACAATAATAAAAAATTAAGAAAAGTACGGAGTTGACGGTGGACTGTCCAAAATTTGCAAAAAGGCTAAGAAAGGTGAGCTACAGGATATCGAAGAAACTGTTATTAAGTGGTTTAAACAGTGTCGTGATAAAAATGTACCCGTTGTAGGTCCCATACTCCAAGAAAAGGCTTAACAGTTTGCAGAACAATTAGGGCATGCAAAATTTCGAGCCAGTAATGACTGGTTGGATCGGTTAAAAAAGAGACACGAAATTAGTTTCAAAAAAGTTTGTGGTGAAAGTGCTGCCGTAGATGATGTAACTTACGAAGATTGGAAAGCTAAATTGCCAGACTTGACCCGTGGATACAATGCAGATGATATCTACAATGCTGATGAAACAGGACTTTTGTTTAACTGCCTATCGGACAAAACGTTAGTGTTGAAAGTAGACCCTTGCAAAGCGGGCAAAAACAGCAAAGATCGTTTGACAGTTTTACTCTGCACTAACTCATCCGGTACGGATAAACTGAAACATCTCGTCATAGGAAAATAAAAAACCCAGATGTTTCAAAAACGTATCAACCTAACCAACAGACTATTCAGCTAATAAAAAGCGTGGATGACCGAAGAGGTCTTCGGTGACTGGCTGAAACAAACCAACAACACGATGAAAAAGTAGAAGAAACACATTATTTTATTTATCGACAATTGCACTGCACATGGAGATATTCCGATGCTAACAAACATTAAAGTTCAGGTCCTGAAGTGAAGTCCTAAAGTTCAGAAGGGAGGTTGTCCGTCAATTCTTGAACGACTTGGAATGCCAATCTCCAACCAAAATTAGTGTGTTAGATGCTATATGGATGTTTCGAAAGGCATGGAACAATGTTAACGATAAAACTATTGTCAACTGTTTTAAGAAAAGCGGCTTTCAAGTGAATGAGCGTGACCAAAATCAAGATGAGGATAATCCAGAAGTTCAACAACCAGAACCAATTGAAGGATGTTGGACGAGAGTAAGGGAGGCTTTAAACGTGGACTTGGATTTTGAAGAGTTTGTCAACTTGGATGATGACGTTGCAATCTGTGGAGAGCTCACTGATGCTGAAATCGTATCTTCCGTGACAGGGAGAAAGAAACAGTAGAAAAAGCAGAAGACGACGTGGATGAAGAACTCGTTAGTGAACCAGATTTTACATCAAAGGACGCAAGAGATACCCTCAATGTGTTAAAGTGTTATTTTCTAAAAAAAATGCTTTAAATGATGGTGTTGTTAAATTATATCACTGTGCTGGATTGTGAAATGGATAACCTAACACAACAGGATTAAGTCTACACTCAAAAGAAACCAACATCACACACTCACACAATGAAAAATTACTGACTTTCAGGGTACTTAATAACAATGGACATAGATGGACGTAGTAAAAGTAGTTTTTATTTGTTTAGTTTTATATTACATTTTCAACACGAATTTAACTTTGTCAAATAAATTACGTTATTCTCAAAAATATTTAGGTTTTTCCCCTGTTTTTTGGTAGCGTATTTTCTAAGTTAAGACACAGGTCTACAGTTATTCTGTAAATCATTATTTGTTAAACTGAGGTTAAGTGATGAGAAATTCGTTATATGGAGGTTTGAATTCAGCTTTAAGAACCCCTTTATAACGAATATTGGTCGCATTTAACCTCGATATATCGAACCCCGTTATTGAAAATTTCCCGATATAACGAATTTCTTCTCCGAGCCTTCAGATTCGTTATACCGAGGTTGTACTGTACCAAGAAAACTGAATACATGTGTATTGGGGGAAGATCTAATCTTGGAAGAAATGCAGCGAGAAATAAATCACCGTCAAAAATACAAATATTTAGGCATGCAAATATCCCACGATGGCAAATTAGACGAAGAAATTAAACATAGAAATAACCAGGGAAGACAAGCAATTAGGCACTTAAACAGTGTACTGTCGGACAAAATAATTTCCAAGGACAACAAACACAAAATCTATAACAGGATTATAAAAACATTGTTACGTATTGAAGTGAGATACCATATAGAATATATTAAGATTAATTTTTAAAATTCACTGCAACAGCGTGGAAGATACGCTTATGAATGCTAAACTACGAAATCCATAAGCAATTAATCTCTCTCTCTTCTATACATAAATATTATATATAATTATAATATTATACATAAATATTGACGTTATTGAATACATTTTATTAGATACCTTAACGAATACCAAACGATTATTAATCTATCATAATTTTGCTGCAGGTGAATAATTAAAATATAAATTGCGAGAATATCTATTATCACAAACTGATAACGTTGTCGTCGCTTTATGGCAGTCACATTTCTCAGAATCTACTGCTTACAAATTTGATTCTCAACTATAAGTAAAATTTAAACAACTATAACTTAATAACTTTGTAGCTACATGCTTGGACAACATTTTAATGATATATTTAAAATATTCATAACACAAATAATAAATAAATACCGTCTAGACTCCTCCTTATTACCATTAGAGTCATTCTCTTCATTGCTTGCTAATTTATTTTCGTCTGATTTTCTTTTCCTCCGTCTTATAACTTTACCTAAAAAATTTGAAACATTTAAAACGTCGCATATTTACAAATACTAGAATGATTTAAAAAAAACTATTAATTTCGAATAAATATTTCATAGTAAAAGCGAGTGTGAGACAAGGATCTTTCTCTATTTAGTTCAGAGATTATTTAAGTAGTATATGCCTCTAGGAAAAAAATACTTTTTGCAGTTAATTTTAATGTGATTTGTAGTTATTAAAAATTATAGGGTGAAAAATATACCCTTTTATTATATTGGTTTACCAATAGAAGTAATCAATTTAATTTTACCACCAAAACGACCGGTTTCGCATACTACAATTTGCTATGCATCTTCAGGTCTAACGGTACCAGGTAAATTAAATGATGCCGGTACAAGAATTATTAATTAGTGATTTGGAAACATAGTTCAAACTATCCTGGATTGCTGGTGATGGGTTATCATCGGTTTTATTGTAACTGTTTGACAATTAGCGGGAAGTTCTTGAGGGGAGAAATATTACCGAATGAAATAGGAAATAGGAAGTAGGTGTTGTATATTTTAGAAATGTGTGTTAATTTATTGAATTATTGATTAAAATGATAGCTATATGACAATAAATGAAGGTAGATGTATAATTTGTGGGTGTGCAATACTCCAACTTGTAATTATCAAATTATGAAAAATTGATTTTGGTTTCTGTTTTGGCAGAAAATTGTGATGACAAATATATTAAAATTAAAAACAATTAAGGACAATCAAAGACAAGTAGGGATAAACAGAACAAAATCAAAAAGACAAAACAGACATTAATTTAAAAAAGGGGGCACTTAGTGGTACCCCATTACTACAACTACAACTAATAGTCTCTCCTAATAAGTGAACTCCGCCGTTGCCTGATCCCAAGTCCAGGATGACGGAGGAGGGTTAAGCAAGGGGCTAACTATTCCTAACCTAACCTAACCTAACTATTCCTTCTTGTAAAAAAAAAATACTTGAAAACGAAGCACATAAGGATAAGGACGGATCTTTTAAGACGACAAAAGCGACGACAAAGGACAATGAATATAGAAACCTGGAACGTACTAAGCCTATATCGGCCTGGAGTCCTAACTTAGGTGGTCAAAGTACTTGAATCCAGAAACATGGACATAACTGCTTACAAGAGATTAGATGGACTGGAGAAGGTACACTAAAAACTAATAAATCAGTAGTATTTTTCAGCGGAAGCGAACGGGAACATCAATTCGGCACTGGTTTTATAGTCAGGGAAAGTCTTGTGAGGTCAGTCTGAACTTTCAAACCCGTTAATGAAAGACTCTGTTATATCAGCCCCAAAGGACAACTACAAAACTATTCCCTAGTTGCTGCCCATGCACCGACAGAGGAAAAGGAAGAGCATGTAAAAGATAACTTCTATGAGAAACTAGAGGAAATGATAAATAATCTACCCAAACAGGATATGCATATTATATTAAGAGATTCCAATGCAAAGATTAGGAAGGAAGCAGTTTACAAACCAACAATAGGTAACCATAGTCTTGACGATGTTAGCAACGATAATGGAACAAGGTTAATAGATTTTGCAGCGTCCCATAACCTGCTAATAAAATCGACAATGTTTGAACACAAGAAAATACACAAATGCATGGGTCTCTAACGACGGCGTCACAAGAAATCAGATCGATCATGTTCTAGTAGATGCCACGACGGGTAGTAACTGTCTAGACGTAAGAAGCCTAAGAGGAGCTGATGGAGACACGTACCTCTGTAAATAAACAACTCTTTGGGAAAGAAATATGAAAAAAAAAGTCATTGCAGAAGGGAAAATGTATACGAACTGGAAAGGAATACAGAAGGGATCGAAATTAACTGGATCAAACTGCAAATGCAGGTACAAGTATTTTCAGATGGACGAAGAAACAAGAAAAGTTGTCTTACAAAAGTTTAACAAAATAGGAGACAAAGATTTGCAAAATACCTATTTGGGAGGGTTGATTCCAACTATTACTACCTACTCAAAGAACTCGAAAAAAGACCACACTTATTTCCACAAATACTTTATAAAGCTGGATAAGCTATTCAAACGAGTTTGTAGACATGCCTTTTGTTCAATCCACGGCATATCAAGGAAACGTGTAGATCTAATTGCTCAAACTTTTCGTGACAGAGATAGTGCAGCGCCACCTAGTAACAAACGAAAACATACAAATAGACTAACCGAAAATTGAACAAAACACTTAAAAATGTGAGCATGCAAATCCAGAGCTTTGCAAGGCGTAAATCGCATTATAGTGGAAATAAATGCCGTCGATTCTATTTATCTAAGATCTAAATGTAAAGAAGATGCATCAACTCTATTTGGAACTTTACGAACCAGAAAGTGTTAGCAATCCTATAAACCGAAATTCCCTATGACTTCTACTATTGATACTTCAAAGAAAACTTCAACTACAGTTTTGGCTTACCTCGTTCAGAAACGTGCAAAAAATGTGATGTCTTAGATAACAAACTCAAAGATGTTACCCTCGACGAAAATAAACGAAAAGTTTTAGTAGCGGAAAAGAAGTTGCATAAAATTAAGGCCGATTTGTTTTTCAAGAAGCAGAAGGAGAAGACCAAATTATGCAAGAATAGCGCCGAAGTGGAAGTTCTGACCTTTGACTTCCAAGAAAACCTTCCACTTCCAAAAATTCCTGCTGCGGAAGCTTTCTACAAACGCCAGTTGTGCATATACAACTTCTGAGTCCATTCTGATAAGACAAATCCAGCACACATTTATTTGATGAAACTACGGTTCGAAATCACCAAACGAGGTAGTGTTATTTTTGTATCACAATATAAAAAATATACTCCCTAAAAATGTTAAAAGTTTTATACCTTTTCTCCGATAACGCTACTGCGCAAAAAAAAACTCAATCGTGATTCAGTTTCTGTATTTGCTGGTGAGAACTAGGTCTATTGACAAGATAGAGAATCGCTTTACTGGCCAGGACATAGCTTTCTTCCCTGTGATCGCTGCTTTGGAGTTATTGATTTTCGATCACCTTTTCCAATATTTGTCGCCGTATATCGGCAATAACGTGGCAAATCTTCGTGTCGGCGTAGACTAGCACCTTCACATATCCCCACATAAAATAGTCTAGCAGTGTTTAATCGTACGATCTTGGTCCGAAACGTGAAACTATGTGACACGAGCTCTGTGTGTGACATGTTCCGCCGGCTTATTGAAACGACAGCTCCTGCACATCATGGCTGTTCAATTGGGGAATGAAAAAGGCAGTAATCATGGCTCTATAGCGGTCACCATTGACTGTAACGTTCTGGCCAGCATCGTTTTCGAAGAAGTACGGTCCAATGATTCCACCAGATCATAAAGCACGCCAAAAAGTCAGTTTTTCTGAATGTAATGGTTTCTCAACATACATTTGAGGATTATCTTAACTCCAAATAGGGCAGTTTTGTTTGTTGACGTAGCCATTCAACCAAAAGTGAGCTTATCACTAAACAAAACTCGCTTATGAAAATCGGAATCGACGGCAATCTCTTTTTGGACCCACTCACCGAATCTACGCCTTGCTAGGTGATGATGTACCTTCAATTCTTGCATGAGTTGGATTTTGTAAGCACGCAAAGCAAGATCTTTCCGCAAAATCTTCCATAAAGTGGATAGACACATATCCAACTGCTGTGCTCTATAGCAGCAACAACTACACGACCTCTCCACGTGTCTGTACGTAAACCTGGTGCGAAAACGTTCCATAGTTAATCGAATTAATTGCTCTAATCGACGATTATGTTGATCATAAAATCGAAGTAGCGCGTGATACTTATTTCAAACAGAATTTTCAAAATACATTTGTACAACTTGGAAGCGTTGATCAGGCGTCAAGTCTATTCATGCTGAAATGCCAAACCCAACTTAACATAAATCACTTGACAACTGTCAAAATGGCCAACAGTTAAAAAAGTGTAATTTTTATGTTACTGAATACAGTTTTTTACGAATTTTTTGCAGAATCCGAATCTGCATAAAAAGTGTGGGTTAGGTTAGGTTAGGGATCCAAGCTATTGAAATGAGTTAGATTGAAGTTTGATTTAGTCATTAATGCATTTACTTAAATATTAAAACTTACTTTTAGTTGGTTCTATTTTTTTCGTTGATATATCACTTTTATTTGATTCCGGTTCACTTCTTTTGGACGTAAGTAGTCTAAAAAATAAAGTCAAACATATGTTACTTAAAATAAATGTAAAAATAAAAATGACGATCTCATCACAAACAAAAACGAAATATTAATCAAAACATTTATTTAAAAATTCCTTTATAAAAAGGTATATATTAAAATACCCTATCGGGCTACATCACAGAACGTTTTCGAAATTAATATTCAATCATCAGTGCTATCTGGATGTACGCAAGACTGCATACCTTGGACACATACTAACAAATAATAAATATAGTCTTCTGCAGGTCATCATGCAGGGTAGAGTCGATGGCAAAAAGGGAATAGGTAGAAAGAGGAAGTCATGGCTGCGAAATATTCGAGACTGGACAAACATAACTGTAGACGAATTATTCCACGTTGCAAAAGACAGAGAAGCTTTTAAAAATGTGGTCGCCAACCTCCGTTAATGGGGACGGCATAGGAAGAAGAAGAATCTGGATGTACATGTTTTAAGCCATTAAATACTTGGGTAAAAACCATTTAAAAGTTCTTAAATTAAATTCGAGTTACATTATTTGATTTTATAGACTACAATGTTTAAGCTACAACATGAATAGGTAACATGGCAACGTAAGACTCCACTGGAGGTTGCTAGTCCTGGGACAAAGTGTGTACGAGGTTTCTGAGAAGAAGTTTCCTATAAAACACCTCTGCATGCTCAAAAAGTATATTGTCGCATTTTCGGTTGTTACTTACTTTGCATCTCCTTAGGCGGCCTGAATAAAGGCCGTTTTTGGAATAAAGTTTTTGTTTTAATGTGTCCAGGCATTGTTGCGGTATGTTATTTTCTGGATCATATTGTGAGTGTTTTAGAGTGTTTCACAATATCTCTTCAGCTCTTTTGATGACTTTTCTATTTCTTATTCCTAGGATGTATTCCGTTATTTATCCAATGTGCCTACGCAATGATTCAATTTTCCCTAGTAGACGTTTTTCCTAAGGTGCAATTCTGCTATCATTCCTTTCGATATTAGTACCCCGTCTTGCTCTGATCTTAATGCCCATAACATTAGCAATTGCTGTTGCTGCACAGTAAATCAGCATATGCAAATATTCCGATGTATGAGCTTCCACGATGTAATTGGGTAGGACTTCAGTGTTCACAATTTGTAACGGCGCACCTAGTTTTTTACAAGAGTTTATTTTTAGACGATCAAGACGACAATTTAAGACGATCAGTAGGAAGACTACAAAAACGATGGAATGGACAACTTACTGGAAGCACATTGAAAAACAGACAGAGTCATGTCTATATAAAAAGAAGAAGAAGATATTATCAGTAGAAAATCACAGGCTGGGCTTGGACATTAGCTTTTCGAAAACCAAAATTCTGGTATTGCACAACAACCCCCATGAAGAAGTTACACCTAACATACAAATAAATGGTATCACCCTTCAGAGTTCCCAAAGCTTCATATACCTGGGCAGAGAGCTAAATAGCCAACTACCCCAACTTAAAAGAAATTAGAGGACGCATTGAATTAGCCAGATATGGTTTCATGAATATGCGTAAAATGCTCTGTAACCCCAAGCTATCAGTCTCAATAAGATTGAGAACACTAAAGTGTTATGTATGGTCTCTATTATTATATGGCTGTGAGACCTGGACATTAAAACAGTCTAATTAAATTCATTTGAAATGTGAATATATCGCCGAATGTTAAGAATAAGCTAGACCAGCAGAACACACACCCTCATCTGGTCAATACTATCAAAATTAGAAAGACGTCATATCTAGGACACTTAATGCGCCATAGGGAATTTGAGCAGTTCCAGGTAATATTAGAAGGCAAGATTGAAGGTTAAAGGGGCATAGGACAAAAGAAAAAATCTTGGCTACGAAACATCAGAGATTGGACCCACACAAGAAGAAATTAATTAATTTATCAAGTCCACAACACAGAGAAATTTGCCATATTGATGGCCAACCTCAACAGAGAAGGCACTTAGGAGGAGGAGGAGGTATCGCCACGTCGATTAGTGTTGTTTGTCTCGTTAGTTTAGTAATTAGCACGAGATCTGGTTATTATGTGCTACAGTTTGGTCTGTGAGCACAGTGCGATCCCAGTATAGCTTGTAGTTGTCATTATCAAGCATACTCTCAGGAACGTATTGATAATATGGTAGATGATTTGTTTGTAGTAGTCCCAGTTTACAAGCTATCTCTTGATGGAGGATCTTCCCTACCGAGTCATTCCTTATATTCAGTTGCAGCAAATGCCTGGCAGCCCCTTGTAAGATGTTGAATGGTTTCTTGGGCTTGACATCCATATCGGCATTTGTCGTTTTGGACCTGAGGGTCTTTGACGTATTTTATTATTATTATTATTAGTGTGGAGTAGATAGTTGGATTTAAGTAATAAAACAACGCACCTAATTATAAATGAAAAGTAAATACCTGCTAGAATCCTTCAATGTATTACAATTAGAATTACGTCTGTTTGCAAACAGTGAATTTCCAATAACTATTTTTTTTAATCCGAGTTTTGTTCTCTTGGTTTTTTTATTTGTACCTACAAAATTATAATATATTTTAGATAGTAATAAACAAATTAACAGTGTAACAGCAGAAAAATAACTTAAAAATCTGTCAATTTTTTTTAATTTTTAGCCAATAATTTTTCGTCCGTAAATAAAATATTAAAAGAAAAGTTTGGATGATGATCTTTCTCGTGTTTTCACAAAACAAAGTATGTCGTTCTTGGTCTCATGGTAGAATAAACTAAAGTACGAATTCGTATACGTATTCGTACGAATGACATAATAAGGCTGATAACCGTGTTTTTTTTTTGCCTATTTCAATTTGGTTAATACATTTCAATAGCGGCACAAATTGTAATTTAAGCGTTCAATTTAATTTTAATTAACACAATCGATTTTTTGGAATTAAAACATTAAAAGCAAATAGTGAAATAGTGACATTAACAGCAAATATTGCTTCTTCTGTGCCCACAAGCCAATTCTGTATTCTGTTAAAGTATTTTATTGGTTTTCTCTCTCGATACTGCGCGGGTTGTATGTCTATGCACTCGATAAGAAAATAAACTAGATTAAAATTTCATCCATTGACTGATTTAAAAATATATCAATTATATATTAAAATATAACTTACTGTTAATTCGATCTACATTTTGCGTCAGAATTTCTTCCTCATCTGATTCAGATATATATCCAATGTTAACATTTGACCTAAAACATTATATTTAAACTATATTGCGCGGCATAAGTTAGAAATATTGTTAATATAATGGTAATGGTACTTCATTCTGCATCAATTATTGGTAAGTAAACAATTAATTATTACTTGTTATTATACAATCAGACCAAAAAAAATTTCTAAGTATTGACAAAGCACCTGTACAGCCATTTGAAAATGACCTTTGTTCTCTCAAATGAGATAAACAAATATAATTGTTAAAAATTACTTGACCGATTGTGATCATCTTTCGCAAATGTGGTAACAACATAAAAATTCACTTTATTTACATATGGGTGATACTTTTAAAGTTTAAATATACGTTGACATTTTCAATGTTTTTAAAAAGGTTACATAGAAAGATAGTAATAGACACTTGTCAGTTTACATCAGTTGCTATCTTTCTAGTAAACTTATAGTAGTGACAAGTGAACAGTGTAGTAGTGTCTGGGGGCTCGGGAGACTGAGACCTCGGAAGCCCTGAGGACGGCATCAGAGAAGATGCCGAAAGCTCGGCAAAATGAATATCGACGCGGTTCAACCCGGAAGGTTATATGTATATATATATATATATATATATATATATATATATATATATATATATATGTTGTCAAGTTTCCCTTTAAGAAAAGGTAACATTTCAACGTTGTCGTTGGTGATCATTCAGCTCTTTGCTTTGCGTTTACTTTCCTGAAAAAAAGTTTTTGTTCATTCACCAGATGAACAGCTAAACAGTGGATTGCCGTTTGTGTACGGAAAATAAAGAGATTCTCCAAACCGCCTCATTGACGTATCTTCCCATCACATATATTAAAACGTCATCGTCATTATTTGGAGCCCGTACAAACAGATGAATATAGATGAATCAAAAGGGATCAATGAGAAAATAATTGCGTGTAGTAAGTTAGGCGGATACTTAATATATCCAAATCATCATTCTTAAAGCCAATAAAAATTATTATTGAAGAATGGGATATTCAATACTTAAAAAATCATGTCATGCTGAGAAAAGCCTATTTCCAAAAAATTTTAATGCGCAAAGTGGATCTCCTCAACAATTAAGGTTGTGATATCACTTGTCTACATTCAAATATATATGTAAATAAAAATCAGGGGAACCATAGGCACCATAATTATAGAAAAAATAATTACGATGAAGTAGTTTCTATAGTGGTTCTCACGGATTTTTATTTATATATTATATACATACTAAACTTTTATCATACATACTAAATTTACGATTTATAAATGGAGAGCACATACCGTCTAGACTCCTCTTTCTTATTATGATGCGAATCATTTTTCTCTTCAGCCGCAAAACATTTATTACTTGACATTCTTTGCTCAGAGTTTCTATTCTTTTGTTTGCTATTTGTACCTACAAAATTGGAGTCTAGTTTAAAGATTGACAATACTTTAATAATTTTACAAAGAAGTAAAAAAAATCAAAGAGTATAAAAATTGAGAGAAAAAACATACAGAGAAACATACAGAATCCGAATGTGTTCGCAAAAAGTTTAGTGAATAACCATATACACTTCGAAAGTTAAAACGAGAGAGTTAATTGATTAATACTAAATGTGTATAAATATGTGTCAAATATAGTCAATGTTGAAGACTAAATTTAAAAAAAGGGTACATCACTGGATGCCTCCCTTCATGTTATAATTGGGTTAAGGTTGAGATTGTATAGATATATTGTAATAAAAGGGGTTAATAAAAAAATATCGTGTTCTCAAACTTAATTTAACATTTATTTTACAGTGAAGAACGAATCAATTGTCGAAAGCTGATTGATATCTCCCGATATTTTCACTTAAGGGTAAGGCGTTTATTAAGGATGGTTCAAAAAAATTGTATAAGCTGAGCACAGCAGAATACCGAGGATACCGGGATCATTTTCACATTTAAGTTTGTCCATTGTAGCGACAACATGCTACATTTTGTTATTAAACAAATTAAAAATGCAAATGTCGGCGAGGTCAGACTGTAGGTCCTCATGGTCTAGGACAACCTAACGATCGAGGACAAATATTGTAAGAATTTTGTAAAGAAAATTATATGATTATTGCAAACACCTGGTATAAACTCACACATTGTGATTGTGTATAAAAATTGTGATTGTGTGACTGGTATAATCACACATTGTGATTGTGTTTTTGAATATTCAAGTAAGTGATAACGACAAATTTGCTGTTTATTTATCAATCCAATAATTATAATTCATATCCAAAACTAGCACAAAGTTAATCATGCCTAATACATCGTTTTGTGCTAATTGTTCAAAGCTAACTTCTACCTCCGATAGAAAGCTCCAGTGCGATGGCTGTAAGAAACCAATTCACATTGCTTGTACGGATCTGTCGGTCGATGATCGAGTTACGAGGCAAAAAGTACGTGGTATATGTATACTATGCAATGCATGCAGTTCAAACATTACGAATATTACTGAAATCAAGAATCTACTTGTCGAGTTTAAAGCGGACATTAAGAAGAAAATTGAAGATTTTGATATTAAACTATCTGAATTCAGCAATAAATTAAATCAACTCGATTCTATTACAACAACAGAATTTACCGACAGCATTGTCAATGAAGCCGCTGACCGCATATCTCGTTCCAAAAATTTTTTGGTTAGAGGCGTCCCCGAACCTACAGGAGACGCACAAAATAAAAAAGATCATGATAAGAATAAAATACATTTAGCCCTAGAAGTCATTGGATGTCAAGAAAGTCCTGTTACATTTTATAGAGTCGGTAAACCAAATGAAAATAAACGTTATCCCCGCATGATAAAAGTGATAATGAGTTCTGAACACCACACTCGAAAAATTCTTCGTAACAAAAATAAACTTTTGGAAAACAAATCTACTGAAACGTATTCTGTTATTGATGACAAGACACCTATGCAGCAACTTCGTTTAAAGGAACTTCGTACGGAGCTTGAAACTCGTAAAAATAATGGAGAAAATGACCTTACGATTAAATATGTGAATGGCTGTCCAAAGATAATGAAATTTCGCTCATAATTCTTCTGCACTAAAATTTACGGATTGGCTTCTTATGTATACTAATCTAAACTCTCTTATGTCCAAATTTAATGAATTTATAAGTACTGTTCAACTTTTAAAACCTCACATTATTCTCCTAACAGAAACGTGGCTTAATTCTTCTATTCCCGATGCTATTGTAAACATTGATAATTTTACTATATTTCGTAGAGACAGAGGTACTCGTCGAGGGGGAGGAGTATGCATCTATTTAGCAAATGAAATTACCAACACTTTTTCTATCAGTAATAAAACAATAGACGTACCCGGTATAGAAATTATCCACTTACTTATTACTAATAACTCTTTCATATTTAATATAGTTTGCATATACCGACCTCCTGATACAGTACTTACTCAGGACAATATGCTTATTAACAAACTTGAGGAATTATCATCCCTTGAAAATCTCATTGTTGTTGGAGATTTCAATTTTCCAGAAATAAGCTGGCCCATTATTTCCAAAACTGATACTATCAATTCCCAAAATTTGTTTAAAAACTTTATCATGAACTCAAATTTAGTACAACTGATAACTGAACCTACAAGGTTTAGAGCCAACAATAATCCTTCAATTTTAGACTTATTTTTCACAAATGACGATGAATTAATTTCTTCACTTGAAGTGTCCTCTCCTGTGGGTCTTTCTGACCACTCGCTTATTACTGCTCACATTCAATTTAGTTTAACACCGCCTTGCAAAAATAATTTCGTAACGTATGCCACTACTAATTTCATTGATGTAAATTCAGTTTTATCCCAGTTAAACTGGCAATCTATTTTTTCTAATCACTCTGATCCATCGTCAATGTGGGACTCTTTTCTTCATACTGCTATTACAACAATTTCTGATCATACAACCGAACGGCAGGTATATAGAAATCGACTAAAACCTTGGATTAACCTCTCAGCTACTCATTTAATTCGACATAAGCGAAAGCTTTGGCGAAGATATAAACTCACTAGTTCCCCTGATGATTTTTTCGCCCACCGTAATTTTTCTAACCGAGTCAAACAATCTTTGCTAAAGTTAAGAACAGAATTTGAAGAATCTATCATTGCAAGTGGTAATAGTAAAAAAGTTTATCGGTACATTCGTACATCTTTATCTTCTAAAGTTTCCATACCATTGCTTCAAAAAGCTGATGGGTCTTTATGTTCTTCGAATAACGAATCTTCGGAATGTTTATCGTTATTCTTTTCTCAAGTTTTTACAGATGAATCTAACGATACCATTCCTCAAATAATGTGCCCTCGTTTGTCTAAAACTCTTGAAAATATATCTTTCACACCGGATGAAATTAAACATCATTTAAGGAAACTGCGAAATAATTCATCACCTGGATTAGACGGACTCACCTCTTTTTTCCTCAAACAATGTGCAGATTCTGTCGCCATCCCTATATCTCTCATAATGACTGCTTCTTTTAATCAAGGTTCCCTCCCCTCGTCCTGGAAATTGGCTTCTGTTACTCCTGTATTCAAGAAAGGTAATAAACTTGATTGCAATAATTATCGTCCAATCAGCCTGGTTCCTATTGTCGGCAAGGTCATGGAATCGATTATTTCGGAAGCTATGTCCGAGTTCCTTCTTCAAGAAAATGTCATCCCTCACCAACAGCATGGATTTATCAAAGGTCGTTCAACGATCACAAACTTACTTCATTGTGTAAATGATTGGTCATTATCTTTAAACAATCGGAATCCTGTCGATGTAGTTTACTTAGACTTCTCCAAAGCTTTCGATCGTGTTCCAAAACGTCGATTACTAGCTAAATTGGATCACTATGGTATCCGCGGAAAGTTAAACATTTGGATACAAGATTTTCTATCCGACAGATACTTCAGGGTTCGTGTTGGGAAGACCATTCACTAGATAAGCCAGTCAAGAGTGGAGTTCCACAAGGATCAGTACTTGGACCGCTACTTTTTTGTGTCTACACTAGTGATCTTCCGCTCATTGTATCCAGTAAGGTTTCCATTTACGCTGATGACACGAAGTTATATGTGAATCCAACTATTAACCAACATATTCTTCAACAAGATCTTGACGCAATATTCAAATGGTCCTCAGAATGGTTACTTCCGCTTAACATTGAAAAATGCGTTGTTTTACATATCGGCAAAAATAACCCATCACTGCCGTACTTTATTAATGGACATCCTTTAAACTCTGTAACCTCACACAACGATCTCGGAGTGATAATTAATAGTGACTTAAATTGGTCTGATCACATAGTGTCGGTGTGTAAACGTGCTAACTCGAAACTGTTTTTGATCCGTAAATGTTTTGCACGCATATCTCTAACCTCTGTTAGTAAACTTTACTCAATATACGTTAGACCTATTCTTGAGTTTGCCGGACCAGTGTGGAATCCAGATCTTAGTCGCGATAAAATCCTACTTGAAAACGTTCAGCGTAAAGCCACAAGACTGGCATACGGCCGTGTAAGACCTAACTATGAAGATAGACTATTCATGGCTCATCTTACGACATTCGAGCAGCGACGTCTTCGAGGTGACCTAATTATGTCCTTCCGTATTTTAAAACATAATTTTGGGAACCTAAACAACATATTCACTTTGAATGAAGACGATAGATTAAGAGGCCATCGATACAAATTAAAGAGGGAACAAACTACTGCAAGGTCCAGGGCGAACTTCTTGCCAAACAGAATCTTTAATATCTGGAACAATTTGGATCATGACACCATATCGGCAGCTAGTGTTAACATCTTTAAAAATAAACTTGACAGAACTTTATTTTTTTTATAGGATAGGATATTTTTTCTCGGACAGCATTATTTATTTATTTATTGTGTCACAATTCAATTTTTGTTAATTTGTTTAACTGTACTTAACTTTATAATTAGTATTAGTTTTATAAGGATATATTTTATTTTTGTTCATTTTTGCTTTTTGGGCATAATAGGAGCTCGCTCCTCTGCCCTTATTTGTTATATAATAATAAATAATAATAATAATAAAACTATCCAAGCGACGACTATACACTTGGAAAGCCCCATTTGATGACGGCAATAACCCTGAGTCCTCAAGAAATCAAATAGACTATATACTTGTAAATAAGCGTTTCCGAAATGTCAAAAAAGTCACTATATTTTCTGGGGCAGATATTAAATCTGATCACCAACCACTTGTAGCAGATATTAAACTAAAGTTAAAACAAATTCAGCGAAAAAAACCAAAAACCAATATACTTAACTTTGACGATATAAACAAAAGATAACATTAAACAAGGATTTAACAATAGAATAAAAAACATCGGAGAACAAATAGAAGATCCAGAAGAACTATGGAGTGAATTTTA